GGCAGGGAGGAAGTTATTGGTAAGAACATGCACTATGAGCCAGCTGCCAGGGAGACAGAGGTTTATTATACTTCTTCTGGTGGGGCTAATTTAGAGGTAGAGAAAGCCCAATTACAGCCTTTTATTGAGCAAATTTGCGGAGAGGGAACTCCCATTCAAATTATTCAGCCTGCTGACCGGGAAAGTAAAGGCTATGAGTGTGGGGTTTATTTAGTGAAATACCTGGCAGAGATATTGGAGACTGGGTTTTTGGAATTAAAGCGGACTTATAGTGCGGAAGAGTGCCAAGAGTTTAGATGGGAGTGGAAGGAAAGGATTGGGGAGGGGTGGTGTAAATGATAAAAATGTCGCTTGTTTGCTTGCCTTTTGCGTGCTTTTTTTGCCCTTGCCTTTTTGCTTACCCTTGCCCTAAACCAAATAAAACTATGAAAAAACAAATAACCCCAATAATTAAACCAAAAAACCCTGATTGAAACGGAGAAAATAAAAAATAATGCCATACACTACCGAAGAAATATACAATAAGTTCAAAGAATTAGGTCATGCCCGCAAAGGCAATCCTAATTATTCTAATGATTCTACTTACTGAGATGGTGGACACTGTAATTGAGGTGGCTCTCATAACTTGCGAGAAGATTGTGGCACTTTAGCCAGAGGATTTGAGAAATTTGAGAGTTTGAATGGTGAAAAAATTACTGAAGAATTAACGAAAACCCTTAGCAAACAAGACTTCGACTTCAAAAAATCAATTCTCTTACAGAAGATTAATGAAATCTCTTCCGGCTTGCAAGCCAGGACTGGTTATTCTAGTTCCATGTTCGGCATTTGTATCATTTGAGCTGATGATGCCATGAGTCCACACGTCGAATCAATGATGCAAGAGTGTCGGAGAGAATTAGATACTTTAAGAAGTCAACTTGGACAAGAAACTTATCAGTGAGTGGAAGAGTTGAAGAGGCTTGAGTTGGAAATAAGGAAAATCGAACAAAAAATGAAAGAAAATCAACAAAAAGCCCTCCGAGAAACTGACCCTATCAAAAAACAAGCCCTGATAGCCGAAATTGAATCTGATGGCAAATTACTTCAGCAAAAATACCGAGAACACCAAGAGCATTCCAATAAATATAGGTTTAATCCGGCTGAGAAAGTTAGGGGCATGATTGATGGTATGATAAAGGCTATTGAGAGGAGCAACAGAGGTGGTTCAGGTGGAGGAGGTGGCGGAGGAGACCCAAATAAACCAAAGAAGCCTAATGAAGACCCCGATAATCCTTTTGGTAATTATGGCAATAACACTTATCCTGATGGGAATGGCTCTAATCACTTTCCTCGGCAGAGAAAGCAGGGTCAACCCGAGCAAGGTAATCAGCAAATGCTTATTATTGGAATAGCTGTCTTGGTGGTGCTTTTTTTGTTGATGGGACAAAAAGAAAGCCAACCACGCCAAAGAGACTACGATTATTATTAACCATGAAAAAATCCATTAATCTTAATCTCGCAGACGCTAAGCAGAAGCTCGGTGAACAAACCAAAAAGTTAGAAAATAAAGCCGGAGAACTATGAAGCGAGTTTAGCCCAAATTATACTAACCTCGAACCCTGACAAAGAGGCTTAGTTTTAATTGCTGTCCTTGCCTTGCTTGTCTTTGCCACCTACTACCTTACCCACGAGAGCCAAGACCGCAAAGCCCAAAGGAAACTAAAAGCCGAACAAGCCCTAGAAGAAAGAATGCTTCGAAGAATGGAAACTTTAAAAAAACTCCGAGAATAAATATTATGTATTACGAAGAAATCCCTAGTCCACAAACCATCCAAACCCAAAAAAGAAAAAAACAGCAACAGGCTACCATGCTGATTGCTTTAATTCTCATTGGCGGCTTAGCTTATTACTTTTTGGCTTATGTGCCGGAAGAAAGAAACCGAGCGAAAGAAGAAATTGAAGAAATGTTTAAGCAAAACTTTATGGTTTTACCCGAAAAGCTAGATAAAACTCTCTGGGCAGAAAGTGAAAGCTGAGAACAACATCTTGACAGCTTATTCTTACCTTCCCAAGTCAAAGTCTTTGGTGAAAAAATGCTCAAAGCTATTGAACGCAAAGCGGAAGAGTTAGAGCAAGAAGAAAAGGACAAGCCAAGAAAGATGCGAGAAGCAGCAATCAACAACATAAAAAACTCCCTAGAAGAAAACGAAAAACAATTACCTGAAATCCAAAAAGCTCTTGAAGAATTTGCTAAGAAGGTAGAAAATACTCCGATTAATGACCTATCCACTGTGCAACAAGAAGCCAATAATTTCATCCTTGAAAAAAGGTATAAAAGGAAGAGATTATATTGAACACTGTCTCCTAAGAATTGAGCAGATAGATGATTACTGAGAAATAAACAAGGTCTTGATGGCATTTGAAACGATTTAGCAGAAAAGTTGCCAGACGGAAAAAAGATATATCCACTTTATTTTGACGCCCGAGCAGTTTATCGAATTCAGTTTCCACCATCTCTGTGGAATAATTTATCCGAAGAACAAAAAGAGTTAGCTAAATCTAATGGACACGGAGAACTTACCCTTAAAGATGAAGTATCAGGCTATAAGTTTAGCCGATTAATCGAAGACTGAGAAGATAAAGTAAAACCTAATCCCGTCAGAGGAGAAATGGATCCAAATGATTTAAGCAATCTAGATAATAACGCTTTATTCTACGGAGCACCACGAACCGGTAAATCAGTAATGGCAGAAAAATTGGCTTATGAGGCTGATATTTATCCATTGGTAGTGATTCAAGGCTCGACTTTAACTCCTAATAAAGCTAATAGTAGAAATAATATCGACGTTGCTTTAAAATTCTTTTTCACTATTTGTAGCATAACTTATGACCTAGTTGACGATTATGGCTTTGAAAGAGCAGGAGATGGCGAGGCACGTTATATTCTTTTCCTTGATGAAGCTGACCAAGTATGCACAACTAATCTCTTGCCACCTAGCCAAGTTTCAACTCAACTAACTTTCCTCAAAGAATGTATGGGCAGTGATAACAAATCCGAAGAAAGCAAAAATTTATGAATAGCAGCCACTAATCATTTAGATAGTATTAATATTGCCGTTTACCAAGCAGGTCGCTTAAGTAATCCTTTGAGTTTTAGTTGAACACTTGGTGAATTCATAAATTACTCAGATAGTGCCGGCATTAGCAGTCAATTCCCTCAGCACTGAACCGAGAACAAAACCCTAAAAGATGAAGATAACCAGTGAGTAAATCGCTTTAATAAGATAATCTTCGACAAAGACTTCTTGCCTTTTTGAAATACCTTTATTGCCAATAACCCAAATGCAGAATATGAACCCGAAAAAGACAATGATAACCAAAGCAGCAACCAGCCACCAAAAAAAGTAAAAATCAAATGAGGTGAGTTCTTTGAATTCTTTTGAAGATTGTATGATAGCAAACAGCTAGAAAGCTTTGAGGGTAAATTCGAGAACCCCCGAAACCCTAAAATAGAAGAGGTATTAGCTACTGTGGAACAAACCATGAAAATCACTGCCAACAAAATCAGTGAAGACATCAGTAAATCTATTGATGCTCGCCTGAAAGAACTTAATAATACCGCCAACCAAACTAGACAAACCATCCAAAACAGCCAAAGCACCATGAACAGCACTCTCAGCCGAACCATGGAAAGAATATCTGGCTTGCTTTCTGAAATAGGAGGAAATATGGGAAGCAGCGGGAGAAACTCTTCATGATAACCTGCCTTATTGCTACAAAATACTAAAATTATGAATAAAGAATTAATCCAAATCCAACAAATCGAAAACCTAATCACTAAAGCTAAACTATCCCTCAAGCACTGAGCCAAACAAATTGGCGAATGCCATAAAATCCTGAAAGATTTATCCGATCAACTCGCTTCCGTAAAAGAACAAATAATTATGAAAAACAATAACAACGACAACAATAAATCCCTAGGAGGCAACAACTAACCATGGGATGATGAAAAAGTTTTTGCACTTGTGCAGGCTGTGCCTTAGGAATCGCTTGCGTAATTGCTACCGGAGGAGCTGCTACTCCCTTAGTAGCTGCCGTCGCTATCGGTGGCGGTGGTGTCGCTGGTCATTTAATTGGGAATAAAGTCGAGCAAGAAGAAAAGAAAGTTAAAAATCAAGAGCAAGAATTAGAACTTAGAAGCCAAACCATTGAAACCCTAAAAAAAGATAATGAAAAGCTTCAAGCTGACCGTGGAGAAAAGCAAAATGAATATAAAAAACAAGAGCAGGAAAATCAACAAAAAGAAAAAGGGCTAGAAGACGCTAAAGGTAAAGCTAATGACCCTAATTTAAGCGAAGAAGACCGAAGATATTGAAGAAACAGAGTAATTGTTTTGGAAGATGAATTAAAAAATGGCAAAGACAAAAGCCAAAAACTCCTTGATGAAATTAGAAATTTAGAAGAGAAAATCAAAAATAACAACAAAAATATTACTTCAGTGGGTTCGTCGGGCTCTTCTAACAAAGGAACAATTATGGAATTTTTTACTCCCCAAAATATCTTGATAGTCTTTGCTGTCTATGCTTTATGGCAAATAGTTATTAAAGAAGATAGGAGATATTAAAAAAGTCTACAACGGACAAATCTTTTCTCTAAAATTATAATATAAGATTTGGGGTTATGGTTGACGAGGAGAAAGAAAAAAAAGAAAAGCAGCAAGCATGTTTAAGGGCATTTAATCATTACTTTCCTTCTTTTGATAGGGAAAGTGGCTGTATTAAACAAATCAAAGAAGACTTTGAAGAAATTAAACAGACAACTGACTTAGAAGAGAAATACCAAAAGGCTAATTTCGCTTGAGTGAAGCATAACAATAATGAAATCTATGCTAGGGGTCATTATCAAGGCGGAGATTTACAAGAATTAGGAATTAATCACTTAGACACTATAGAAAAATATCACAAACTAGTCCAAGAACTATGAAGTTTAAAAGTTGAAATCAACAAAGAAAGAGAAAATGCTTTGCAAGAAACAAAACCTGCTCAAAAACCTGAAAATAAACCTCAGCCTGCTCAACAAAAGCCCAAACCAAACACCCACCACCCAGAAAGCCAACAGCAAACCACCCAAGAAGAACCAGTAGAACCAATCCACTGTTCAAGATGCTACAAAATAATCCCCACCCAAGAAACTTACTGATACAATTCTAAAAAAAATGATGGTGATAAATTCTGTTCAAAAGAATGCTATACTCAGTGATACGGAGAATTATGCCTTAAATGCAAAAATAAGTTCCTTACTCTCTACCATTGGGATAAAGAAAACTATCCTAATATAGTCTATTGCTCAGAGTGCTATGATAAAGAAGCCGCCAAGGAAATAGAGACAAACAAACGCTATTGCTTTAAATGCCAAAGAGAATTAACTGGCAAGGAAAAAACCTTAGCTCTCTGTGATTTTTGTTGGGAGAAAGATTTAGAAAGAATGAATAAAGAAAGCCAGCAGACTATTAGTAGAGAGAGAGAGAGAGAGAGAGAGAGAGAGAACAACCCTAACGAAATAACCAACCTAAAACAAACTATCCAACAATTAGAAAACAATCCGCAAAATAATCCGCAATGGCAAGCTGACTTAGTAGCTAGGAAGAAAAGGTTGGCAAAGTTAGAAAGACAAACGCAAAGTAATCCCAGTAGACTGGATTCTAATCACAACTCAAACCAAATAAACACAAAGCCAAATAACTCGCACTTAGGGCTTTATTTATTAGGAGGTATTGTTGGCTTGGGTTTAATTAGCTTAATCACTTACTTAATTATTAAAGCCAAGAAAGGAGTTAAAGAATAGTTATGCTTCCCACTAATGAATTATATTGAGACACTACTCTCCTTGGCTCACACCCTCTAGGTTCATTTGCCACTCCGCCCTTAACTATCCAAAAAATAGAGTGAGAAGATAAGTCTTGAGGTAAAGTCTTAAAAATAACTTTGGCGGAAAACATTAAATATAGTGGTGGTATTTTTAATACTATGTATTTTAATCGCTTTGCTGAGAATGCTGACAATAAACACGAACCAGATGCAGAAGCTTTTTTTTATTTTGCGAGCAAATTAAACCAGCCTATTCAAATTCCTATTCGTTGCACTTTCCTCGATGAACAAAATCTCATTTACTGGGTATTAAGCGATGAAGTGATTGAGGAAATAAGAACAGAAAAAGCTAAATGAGAGTCTCTTGGTTATACCGAAGAAAAAGATTTGATTCAAAAAAATAAGCTATGGACTGAATCAAAAGTTAATAAGCAACAAAAATATTGAAAAGAAATCCATCCAAATTTTACTCCGGAATTACAAAAATTATGAGAAGGGAAAAACTATTATTATTCATGAGAACGAGATAACTTCATTTCTCACAAGCAAATTAAAAAATGAATTAATCAGGGTTTAATGCCTACAGATTACGATTTAGCTAGATATTTGAAGAAAAAAGGATATAATCCGGAGCAAGAATTAGATTTAGCCCAATTAAGAAAAGGATATGCTCAAAATTTTGATTGGGGTAATATTCACTGAGATTTTTCACGTAGTGAAAAGGAAAGGTGAATAAATGCTGGTTTTACTTATGTAGAGGCTAAACAGTGAATAGAAGAAGGATTTAAGCCTAGTGGCGTAGGTTATCATGATGCTAAATGCTGAAAAGAAGCAGGTTTTACCGCAAAGGAAACGAAACGATGAATTACAATTGGTTTTGAACCGCAAGAGTATTGAAAAGCTGAAGAGTGAAAAAAACAACAATTCATTCCCTCTCAAATTTTAGCATGAACAAATGTTGGCTTGAAACTAAATGAATTAGAGTTCGCTAGTTATTTAAAACAAAAAGGCTATCAACCTGATACTCCTGGCATTGAGAAAATAGTTAAGAAAGAATCTTGGCAAGATATTCATCAAGATTTTAGGTATTGATGAAAGAAAAGATGAGAAGAAAAAGGATTTAGTCGTGAACAAACCAAAGAATGAATTAGAGTCTTTGGTGAAAGTTTTGGAATTAATGATTATGATTATTGTGCTTGATTAAGAGATGATAAAGTAGTTGATGCTGAAACATTACATCATACTCAAGAAAAAAAATTGAGAGAAGAATATGGAGAAAAACCTAGACTTAGTGATGGGACGATTGAAAAAATAAAAAAATTTAAGCATAATAAGTTAACTTTCGAACAAGAATCATTAATTGACAAATTAATTCTTAGCAAAGAATTAAATGAAAGATACAAAAAAAAACGGATTATGCAAGAAATGCCAACAGCCCAAATCCAACCAAGATTGATGTCAAACCTGCAATGCTCAACATTTTGCCCAAGATTTTCCAAGTTGAACCAGTGGAAATCCAACAATTGACAAATTTATTCAAGAGCAACAATTAAAAGCAACTGATCGTGATAGAATACTAGAATGAATGAATTACAAGAGATTCTTAGATATCGAATTTCTAGCTGAGGGTGGTTTTGGTAAAGTGTATAAAGCACGATGAGTTAATGGATATATTAAAAACTGGAATGCTAAAAATAACAAGTGGCAAAGGTATAAAGATGATTCTAAGGGAGTTGTTGTTTTGAAAAATCTGCATAATTCTCAAGATATAACTACTGATTTTTTACAAGAAGTTGCCTATCATAAATTAACCGATAATGGTTGAGTTGTAAAATGTTATGGTATTTCCCAAGATCTCAAAACCAAAGATTATCTGATGGTAATGAGATATGTAGGAGATAATATGAGAGAATATTTGAGAAAGAATTATAATAAATTAGACTTTAGTGGTAAAATTAATCAATTGAAAGATGTTGCAAATGGGCTAAATTCAATTCATCAACAAGGACTAATTCACCGAGATTTCCATGCAGGAAACATACTAAATGATGCTTACAGTTATTCTTCCAAGTTTAATATTACTGATCTAGGCTTGTGTCGACCAGCAGACGAGACTAAACAAGAAAAGATTTACGGGGTGTTGCCTTATGTTGCTCCTGAAGTTTTAAATGGCAAACCATATACACAAGCTGCCGATATTTATTCTTGGGGAGTAGTGGCTTGCGAAATGTGTTCAGGATTACCACCTTATCATGATGTAGCTCATGATGCACACCTAGCCTCAAAAATCTGTCAAGGATTACGTCCAAATTTACATTATGTTAAAGCACCACAATTATTGAAAGATTTAATTAGTAAATGTTTAGATGCTGAACCGTCAAATCGTCCAAGGGCTAGTGAACTAAGCAAGATTTTAGGTGGCTGAGATGTTGGCGTTAATAGGAAAGATGCAGAATTTTGTCGACAATATGAAGAAATAGTAAGGGCGGGAGGGTTTAAACGAACTTCACCTTCAAAAATAAGCAAACTAAGTTATAAAACTCATCCCCAAGCCATCTACACGAGTCGCCTTCTCGATTTTAAAAATCTTCCTCAGCCGCAAAATTCCCAATTAATCAATGACCAATTTTTATAATGAAAAAAATCTCCAAGATAAAACTTCCGAACTAAACACTCAATTAATCAAAGTCAAAGAACTAGCCAAAGAAATAAACACTATTGAAGAACAAAAAAACTCATGAGAAAACTTAGCCAAAACTGAACAAAAAAAACGCAATGACCTGAAAATAGCCTTAAAACTTGCTTTCGAAACATCAGAAGAGTTAGAAGAAATAATTGCCACTAACCAACTTCTCATAAGTGAAGAAATGAAAGAATTATTAAAAAGTAAGCTTATTGAAGTTAAGAGGTTGAAGTCAAGAGTAAATGAGCTAGAAGTAAAAGGTGATAATAACTTTCAGGAACTAACAAGGAAGAAATCCCAATTAGAAGAAATGAAAAAAACTATTATTGCTAATAATCCTGACGCCAAAGACAACCTAGAAGAATTTCTAGAAGCCCAAAAAACCAATAACTCTATATTAATAGAAGCTTGCAGAAAAAGATTAAATAGCCAACTAGCAATGGAAGAAATCAATAGTCTTTGCCGACACCAAGCAGAAATCACTCAGTTAGCAGTTCAGTTAGAAGAGACTAATGTTCAGAAAAGCAAACAGATTACTCAAATAATTAATACTACTATTACCATAGGTGGTGGCATCAATGCCCAAGAAAGCATTGTTGTTATTGGCAGTAATATTGGTGATAATACTAACTTGAATTACGCCCAAGCAAAAGAAACCGAAAACAAAAGACGATTATCAGATGATTCTCAAGTTAAGAATTCTCAAGAAAGAGTTAAGTTATTTAAGGCAATTGAAACCCAAGTATACCAAACTGAACCAATGCAAATCGAAGAAAACAATAATTGACAAAATATCCACTGAGAATTTACTCCCGAATTAAGCCAAAAATGACAAAGCTTAGGTTTTACTTATGAGCAAGTTCAAGAATGAGCTGGCGTTCATGTCAATAGCTTTAGTCCCCAAGACTACGATTTTATTAATTGATTAGTGAATATTAAAAGAGGAAATTATGCTGACCCTGAGTGAATATTAAATAATGCTAACTGGGAAGTATTGAAGCAAGAATTTGCCCAGTATCAGCAAAGCCAACAGCACGCTTATGTTCAACAAGTCTAATTTATCACCTAGGAATTAAAAACCATAGCCACCCTTGCCTTATTAGCCAAAAACAATCCTCAAGCCCTTTGTCCTCTTTTGCTTCCTCATTCTCTACTATCCACCAAAGCCCCAGTAGACAAGCCTTTTGCTAACCAAAACCAAGCCCTAACACACCAAAACCCACCTAACTCTCCCCTAAATAATTCGCTCCGTAATTAAAAATTGCCCAGTAGTCAGCAGGGCTTTATTAATCCAGAGTAAACAGAAACCAGAAAGCTTTAATACTCGGCTAATTGCTTTGAAAAAAGCTTGAATATCGGCAGCAGTTTGGTAGTTTAACGGCCAGCTCTTAATCCGGGAAACTTGGCTAGATTTTTCGTATTGCGGGTCAAAAAAGACGAGTTTAACAGAATTGGCGGGCAAAGAGCGCAATAAATCTAATCCGTCGCCTTCATTAA